AAGTGCAAGGGTCTGAGTTCAATCCCTGGTTCCACAAAAAAAAAAAAAAAAAAACTTGAATGTTGGTATCTTCAGTCTTGGTGGCAGATGAGGTATGTTACATACATTTAGAGGTAATCAACTTTGTTTTGCCTACTTTTAGTCCCAAAATGATTAATGTTCCTATGTCCAGAGCTGAGCAAGAAACTAGTCCAAAGTTTTAAGGTAATAAAAAAGACAGAAATGAAGGTCAAGCCGGGCATGGTGGTGCGCATCTGTAATCCCAACACTCAGGAGGCTGAAGCAGAAGGATTATTGCAAGTTCAAGGCCAGCCTGGGCTACATAGCGAGACTCTGTCTTCAAAAACCAAACAAAGATAAAACTTTGTTCTACTTGTAGTTACCTATTAGGTATCTATCTGTAAGACCAAGTGAAGAAACACTTTTATGTGTATGTATGAGACAGACAGATTAGGGATTGAACCCAAGCTCTTAACACAGAGCTACACCCTCAGCCTCTTTCTCTTTTCTTGCAGGTGGGTGTTTTGTCTGAGCTAGGGTCTCCCTATGTAGTCAAGGCTATCTTTTTGGTGATCCTCTTGCTTCAACTTCTCCAGTGCTGGAATTATAGTTGTGAGCCACCATACCTGGCCTTTTTTGTTTATTTGAGAAGGGGTCTCACTACATAGTTCAGTATGACCTTGAGCTCACTGTGTACTCCAGGCTGGTCTCAAACTTGCAGTGAACCTCCTACTTCAGCTTTCTGAATGTTGGAGTTACAGGAATGGACCGCCCCAACCTGATGAACTAGCCCTTTTTTGAGACAAAGTCTTGCTGAATTGCCCAGGATGAATTTGTATTTTGTGATCCTCCTGCCTCAGCCTCCCAAAGTGCTGGATTACAGGCATCCCCCCTCCATTTCTGACTTCTCTAGACCTTCATTTTTTATTTTGTCCTTTCAGAGTTGGTCTTACTAAATCAGTAAGTTGCGTTTGCTGGGGTGGAAGTTTCCAATCTCTTGCCTCAGTTTCTCAGAATGTTGGTCTTACAGGCCCAGGAGAGCCTGGGTTCTTAAATAGTGCCCTCTGCTGGGCACTGGGCATGGACTGTTGCCTGGCTTTTAACTTGTGAACTCTTTCCTGGAGGAGGAGAAGCAACCCCCTTTGCAACGTGCCAAGTGGGCATCACTGTGGGTGCTGTTAGAAAGGGGGAGAGCTGTGTGTTTCCCCAGATGGTTTTCTGGGGACCTGCACTTCCTCAGTCAACACAGCACTGAGGTTTTGCCCTATTTTGCATACCAGGACACAAACAAGCCCAATGCTTGGGAACAAATTTTAGGTTAGTGAAACTCACTCTCAAAGACCCGGAGTTCAAATTACCAGTACTGCCAAAACATAAATAAAAATTGGGGGCTAGAGAATGAGAAAACCCTGTGTAGCCATATCCTGCATGAGCTTCATCTCTGACCCTGTTTCCTATCTATAAGTTAAGAGAGGGAATAGTCCTGCCTAACAGTCTGGCTGGGAAAACAATGGATGAAAATGAATCAATTGTGTGTTCATGCTGTGTAAGTGCTTCATCAACATTCGCCATTATTAATCAATATACTGGGGAACTGTCTGGTCAGGGAGGCCTGTGGAATCAATAGCTGGCTCCCAACTGCCCTGGAGGTGGCCCTGGGGGCAGTGTCCAGTGCAGATTTCAGGAGGCCAGGAGGTATGGAGGCCTCAGGGGTCCTCTACAGGAAGCCAGCTGAACTGAGTCTGTGGAGCCTGGCATTAGGCTGAGAAAGTTAGGGAACTGAAAGCCAGCACTGTAACCAGAATGGGACATCTAGGTGGGGCTTGAGGAGTTAAGGCTGGAACTACTCAAGGCCTTGGCAGTGAGGCTGGGGGCCAAGAAGGGGTGCAGAGTTCCAACACTGGGTGAGTTTCAGAGGACCTTAGGGCCAAGGAGATGGCTCAGTAGAATAATTACTTCCCTGGCAAGCGCAAGGGCGTGAGTTCAATCCCTGATTTCGCCAAAAACCAAAAAGACCTCTCAGTTGTGACTGGAGAACAGAGATGCAGCCCAGTTCCAGAGTTGCAGTTGAGGAGGCCACTACTGATTCAGGCTGGGAAGGAGGGCACATAGGGCTAGGGCTGCCTCACAGGGGGTATGGGTGAAGGCAGGCATGAACTGTGGGCCCCTTCACTGTGTGAGCCAGAAAGATGGCTAGAGCAGCATTTGTCAAGGGGGGCCAGTCTGTCAGCCAAGTACAAGGTGGAGGCCCCCCATGCTGATAGTCCTCGCAAGTCATCAGGAGTGGGGCACAGGAGGGTAACATTGAAGGTCCAGCTCATCTCTCTGGTTCTAAGCAATTTCTTAAAAACTGTAACCGCTTCTAGGTATGGGAATTAACATGGCAGGAGGACGCCCTCTTTTGGTCAAGAGATGGCAGTCCTGGTTTAGGATGGCCTAGGTCCAGAAAATGGGCTGCACTGAGGCAGGTTAGTGTCCCCTCAGAGGGACCTGGCTGCGATGGAGATACCAACTTGAAATGACAGGAGTCAAAGGTGACCTGAGGGAGCTGCATGGTGGAGGGGTAGGAGAGGGAAAAGGGGCATTTCTGCAGGGCCCTTCCTAGTTTCCTAGCACTGACTGTCATTCTAGAAGGCCAAGGTTATCAGCTCAGTCCCAGGAATGAGGACTGAGGTCCAGAGGGTGGCAATGCATGGGCCCAAGACCATGGGCTGGGAAGTGAAGGGCTTGCCTTCACTTGAGAAGTTTGTGCGAGGAGGCCCTGAAGGATGGAGAAGTGGCTGGCTGGGGGGCCTGGGATGAGGAGGTTGCCTCCCTTGTGTGAGTGGTTCTGGCTAGGTTGTTGTGGGAACCCCTCCCAGCCCTCACTGGCCCTGATTTTCCACAGGAAGCCCTGAGCCCTGACCCCAGCCCTGCCCCTGGGCCACCCACAGCGCTGACCCCAGGGCAGCCTCCTGGTGAGTACTTTCAGAGGGGGCGTGACTTAGCTTTGGCCACTCTGAAATCCTCAACTGCGGACTTTCTGGGGGCACTTGTTTGTTGGGGCCACCTTAACTTGGTCTTTGTCTGCAGGTGGGAGCCCCCCACTAGAAGAGACACGCCCAAGTCCAGGGGAGGAGGCTGGAATGGTAAGGAGGGCTAAAATGGGGAGACTGAGGGTCAGGCACTTACTAGTCAGGACCTGCTGAACCCATCTATCCTCTGTCCCCCTTTTCTGTCCAGCAACGGTTCCAAGACACAAGTCAGTATGTGTGTGCAGAGCTACAGGCCCTGGAACAAGAGCAGAGGCAGATAGATGGACGGGCGGCTGAGGTAGAGACACAGCTGAGGAGCCTCATGGAATCAGGTGGGCGAGCTGTCATACGCACCACCATATGCACCTAGCCCTGTGGCTCCTTCCGGCCACTGGAGCAGGGAGGAGGGACAGTGCGTAAACTTGAGTCCGGGGCAGGGCGGGAAGCAGCCTCCTGGAGACAGCACAGGCCTCTGGGATGGGACAATCAAGCAAGCTCCGTCCCCCAGTCCCTGGCCACCTCTTGGATGATGGGAAGACCTGCTAAGTATCATGGCTTGTCAGGTGCCAACCGACTGCAGGAGGAGGTTCTGATCCAGGAATGGTTCACACTGGTGAATAAGAAGAATGCTCTTATCCGGAGACAGGACCAGCTGCAGCTGCTGTGAGTGCTGGGGCAGCAGCCCACACCCCTCCCCAGTGCTCCACCCCACCAGGCCAGGCCTGAGAGCAGTCAGTCCCAGTCCCTAGCCCACAGCTGTGCCACTGTGGACAGAGGGTGGGCAGCCCCGCACAGGGAATGGTAGCTACAGTATTCCCTGCTCTCTTCTTTCTGTAAAGATCTTTTAAAATTATTATTCAGCCACCTTCTTAATTTTTGTCTTGCCTATTTTCTGTGCAGCCTGTGTAGTTCCTAAACTGGTACTGTCTTGCCAGGCATAGGAGTGCACACCTGTAGTCTCAGCCCTTTGGGAGGCTAAGGCAGGAGGACTGTAAGTCTGAGGAAGCAATTTAGCTCCTGTCTCAAATGGTTGGGATATAGGGCAGTGTGAAACCTTGGGCTCAGTCCCTGTTATGACACATACAAAAGAGCACTGTCTTTCTTGATGAGAGAACTGAGGCCAGGAGCAGAATGTGCCCTCAGCAGGTCAGGGCTAGGTTCTCCAGGGTCACCTATGCCTCCACAGTAAGGAAAACAGGCCCTAGAGACATGCTCAGCTCGGCTCCTTGATGGAGACTTCTTTGCTTGTCTGCATTTGCATTGTTTCAGGACAACTATAGCCTATTGCTTCCATTTAAATAATTTGTTTTTTTTTTATTTTACAAGAGGGGGTGGTGAGGCAACTTAAGAATTAGTAATCAGAAGCCAGTTGGAACAAAGAAAATTCTGAAAAGTAAAGCAGATAGTGCTTTAAGCTCAGCCCAGCCCTCTATGGGAAGGACATAGGGGTGGGCTTGGGGTGGGAGTGTACAGAGCCCTGTGATCCCCATCTCTGACCTGTACCCTTATCTCCCAGCATAGAGGAGCAGGACTTGGAGCGCAGGTTTGAGCTGCTGAGCCGGGAACTGCGTGCCATGCTGGCCATTGAAGGTGGGAAAGGGGGAAAGAGGGACCAGAGGTAGGACAGGGCTCAGCCTAGCACCACCTGACTCTGGCTCTTGGGGTCTCAGATTGGCAGAAAACAGCTGCACAGCAGCACCGAGAGCAGCTACTGCTAGAGGAGCTGGTATCACTGGTAAACCAACGTGATGAGCTGGTCCGGGACCTGGACCACAAGGAGCGAATGTAAGTGAGGGTGCGTCTGAGCTGGGAGTGCTCGGTCTGGAACCCCAGGGAAAAACACTGGGGCTGACTCCCCTCCCCCCTCCCCCCAGTGCCCTGGAGGAGGATGAGCGCCTGGCGCGTGGTCTGGAACAGCGGCGCCGCAAGCTGAGCCGGCAGCTGAGCCGGCGTGAACGCTGCGTGCTGAGCTGAGCCTTCCTGGGCCTCACCTGGCCTTCAGGCCCCGCCTTCAGCATTGCCTGTCCCTAGCAACTGCTTGTTGCCCTGGGGTCTGTGCTGCAGAGGACCAGGCCTCGGGGATACCCTCACTAGGTTGCCCATATTTATTTGTCTGTATGAGTGTGTGTGTGTATGTGTGTGTGCGTGTGCGCGCGTGTGCACGTGTTTTCACAGTGTGCTGATCAGGACCCCTTACCCAGCATTGGGCCCAGCTCGCTGCCCAGAGAAAGGGACAGTGCGGGCAGTGTGAGGAGCTGCCTTCCTGTTCCTCACCAGCCATAAAGTCAGGCAAGGACACAGCAGCACTGGCCCATTCTCAGGACAGCTTGGGCTTCAATAGGCGGAAGGGGTGGGGCTTAGGTCCATAATGGGTAATGTAGTCATTGCTGCTCTAAACCTGGGCAGTCTTGGGGGATTGGTGGTTCCAATACCTACTGCAGGTGGACCTGGGCCTTCTAAGGATGACTGTCTGAGGGGAGTCTTGTTTCAAAGGAAGACAGGTAGTTGGATGTGGTGGTGGACACTTGTAGTTTCAGTACTGTGAGAGGCCAAGGCAGGAACACCGTCAAATTCCAGCCCAACCTAACCAAACCCTGTGTCAGTCCCCAGTACTGAAAAAAACAAACAAAAATGAAAGAGCACACAAAAAACAAAGTTGAGCAAATTATTGCCTTTTTAAAAAATTAGTGCATCGTTCAAATCTTCACCACCACCCTGTCATCTCCAGGTTCTTCCTCAAGTGCTCATGGCTGCTTCCTTCTCAGGATCTGACACCTCAGAGGAGCTACTTGCAGTCATCTGATGCTTGTCTGCAAGCCAGGGCTTGTTTGGAGGCAGGGGTGGCAGGAGGCAAGTTGTTCAGAGCCAACTCATCCTGGCTCACAATGCCATCTTGGTCCTCAGCAGTCACAGGGGTACTGGCCCCAAAGAACTTCACCATGGCACAGACCTGTGGTAGCTTTGTGAAGGTCTCTACTGCCAGCAGCATGGCCAGGAGCCCTAGGAGCAAGTAACCTGGGGAGGAGAGTGCTAGGGCAGGTCTTGTGGTACCCACAGTACTTGCCACCCACCTCCCAGCAAGGCAGCCACGCTGGCACCAGGTGCCACTCACAGTTCTCTTACTGCTGCTGCCACAGGTTCTTCAGACTACAACTTCTAAGTAATGCCCAAGGGAAGGTCTCACCCCTGTGATGTGTAGTCCCCAGTGGCTCATGGGAATCGTATCTTAGGCTCCTCCTCCTGACTCACCAAGAAGTGCAAACTGGCCAAGCTGGTAAATCACTGGATGCAGGTTTTGGCCACTGCCAGGCAGCAAGTCTCCCAGGCCAATGGTGCTGAGTGAGCCGAAGCAGAAGTAGATGGCTTCCAGCAGGCTGTGGTCACGCTGTAGACCCCACAGCACCAGTGCTGGCAGCAGCACGAAGGTGCCAGCCACCAGAAGGCCTAGCCCTGTGGCCTGCAACAATGCAGCCTGAGATGGTGCCAACTGCCAGCGACTGGCTATCCAGGCACCCGGGCGGCTGAGCACAGGCAGCAGGCAGTGGCGCAGGGCAGCCACAAGTGCTAAGGAAGCTGGCAGCCCTAGGACTGCATAGACGACACAGAAGGCCTTTCCACCTGCGGAGAGTGGGGCCATGTGGCCATAGCCTGGGGAAGAGAGGGGCAGCATGCAGTGAGCTCCTGAGTCAATGCCGGCTCGTGGGGGCTGGGGGTGGTGGTGGAGGGGATGTGGAGGGTGGGGGTGGTTCACTTTCTGCAAGGCCACCCAGGGAAGGCTGCCCTCTGGTGGCCAAAGCTGCCTAACTTCTGCAGGCTCAGCTCCTCTGGGAATCCTGGGGCTCCTCTCCTAGACATTCTTTTCTGAAAAATCATGGATAATTAAGACAGTCCAGAGCTGGGCGTGGCAATGCATGCCTGCAGTCCCAGCATTTGGGAGGCAGAGGCAGGAGGACCAGGCTGGGCTACAAAGTGACCTCAAGGCCAGCCTGCGTAGTGAGATTCTGTCTCAGAAAAGAAAACAAAAGGAGTCAGGGAGATGGCTCAGTAGAATAAGCGCTTCCCTGGCATGTGCAAGGGCCTGAGTTCAATTCCCGGTTCTGCCAAAAGGAAAATAAAATAAAAGATAATCCCTCAGGACCTTTGTAGCTAGGACAATTCAAAAAACTGCCCTGTCTCCAGATCTCCTGGCTTTTTCATTTTTCACAACACTGGGGATTGCATCCAGGACTTTTTTTTTTTTTTTTTCCCCCCGCATCCAGGACTTCTTGTATGATAGACAAGTATGGGCATAATTTGTAAGTGCACTGAGCCATATCCTCAGCCTGAGATTTCAGCTCCAACCTTATACTTCATAATCCAAGCTGGTGGTGTGTCACCCACTTTTCACTTCCCAAAGGTTCATCCTATCTTTCTAGGTGCCGGGCCTGGTGCTGGGATCTGAGTCGGCGTGGGCCCTGGACGATTGGTGGGTGGGGAGACAGAATAGCTGTAAGTGTTGACCGGTAGGGCTACAAAGAAGCAGCAGGCAGGAGAGGGCGTTTGGGGACAGGGAAGCACAGGCAAGATTAGGAAAGATGGAAGAGCTGAGCATGCTGGGAGAACAGGACCAGCTGGTCCAGAGGTTTCAGACTGTACTTAGAGGAGCCTGATGAGAGATTAGAAGGGGTGGCAGGGCTGAAGGCTGTGCTCTGCCTAAAGGCAGGACTTGTTCTGCTCCAGCCAGTATTTTGCCTTGTGGGGATTCAGACTCTGTATTGTTTCTTGAATTTCTGAAAGAAGTTAGGAGCAAAGCCTTGAGTTTGATCCCCAGCATCTCAAATAAATAAATTAGATAACTAAATAGTTTGCAGGACAGTACCCCCCTCCCCCAGCAAATCCAGGGCTGTGTCCCCTGCTCTATTTCTTGGGGCTTAGGCAGGAAAACCTTCAACCCGTAGCTGTATGTCCTCTTGCCTTGGCCGAGGACTCATCAGGACTTCCTTATACCCCTCCTGAGCTGAGCCAGTGCTCCTAGTCTGCCTCCTCCCCCACCCCTCCCTCCCAGTGTTTCCCTCCCTTGCCTCAGGCTTGTGTAAGGTCTGGGCACCTCTTCTGAGTCTCAAAGGGTGCCTAGGGGTGGAGCCAGGGAGGCCACGCCCCTCCTGGCAGCTGAAGTGGAGGCACCAGTTGGGTTATATTGGCGTGGGAAGCCCCAGTTGTGATGTTGGACCTCATATGACAGGCTTCGTCTGGTGCTTTAGGGCCAGGGACAGGACTGGACTCCCAGGGACCTACCTCAGGGAGCCATGGCCTCAAGAGCCTCTCCTTCCTGGGCTGCCTGGTGGCCTTACCTGTGGTGGTGAGGATGCTGACAGTGAAAAGCAGGGCTGAGGGCAGGTCCCAGTTGCTGGCCTCTGAGTGGTTGCCCAGGGTGGAGACTCCATGACCCTGTGCCCTCAGAGCCATGCCCAGCAGCTCCTCCAGAGCTCCGTGTGGCAGGCAGGCCCCAAACTCTGCCTGGAATGCAGCCAATTCAGCCTTGAGCTTCATCTGGAACTGGAGTGCAGGAGGACTTTCCAGAGCTTGGAGCACTGCAGCCCCTAGCCCCATGGCCAACATGTGGGCTATGACCAAGAGCGTGTATCGGGTCCAGGGCCTCAGAGCCCACATTGTGCAGTGGCAGTGCTGAGTTTAGGGTGCTGTGGGAGCACCTGTTTCCCCACTGGCACTTGGGAGGAGCCTCCAGGGTGGGGCTGGAAGGAGGTGCTGTGTGGGTGGTTCCCACAATCCTGGGGTGACCACGAAGGGCAGAGATGAGCTGTGGTCCTCCCAGTTTCCAGGGGCAAGGTCTTGGGAACTGTTCCACAGTAGCTGGGTAGGTGGTGGGGAAGGTGCTGTGGTGAGGAAGAGGGCAGAGTGAGCAGCCAGGCCCAGAGCAAGCCTTACATTTTCACATTCATGGTCTGTCCACTGCACACTCTAATCACTCACGCAGGTCACTTCTCTCCTGGTGCTCACCCAAGAAAGCTGTGAGCAAGGAGACACATCTACATCTTATCGGTTCCAAGCAGGAAATGCCCAGTTAATGGGGCATACCGGAGAGGGCTACCAGATGGGGCACCGAAGCAGCCAGTTGTGTTGGGCAAATGCCCAGGGTGTGGGGAGGACCAGGCACTAGGCACGTGAGGACAGGCTGCTGAGGACAAGTGTAGCTTAGGGAGACCATGGGGGTTGGATAAAGAGGAGTCCTGGGTGGGATGGGCAGGGAGGTGAGAAAAGAATGGTGTGGTTCAAGGTAGGTAAGTAGGGGAGGAAAGGTGATGCAAACCCAGAGGGTTGTATGCTGAGAGTCCAGAGATCTGCTTAGGGTTGGGGCAGCATGGCCTGGAAAGGTACTAGGAAGGATTTGTGGCAGCTGGGCTCCAAGAATGGGCAGGCCCACTCAGGACCAGGACAGTCACTGGAGTGGGGACAATGGCTTGTGGAAGGGTATCGTGTGGTCAAGCTCTGACACAGACTGAGACAAGGTAGATGAGGTGATCAGCAGGCACATCAGTGGCATATTCCTAGGTGAGGGTTGTAGTACAAGACACCCTGGCCCAGAACATATGTCTGCTGTTAGGACAATGAGGATACCAGGGTGTTAGGACAGGTTGGTTCTCCTGAATTCTCCAGGGAAGGTGACAGTTGCATTTGGGGAGACAGTTTACAAGTTTATTTGGCTTCATTGGATCCCAAGGCCAAGGCACAACCTTGGCTGGGACAGCAGGAAGGTACCCAGAGAGCCCTGGCTCCCATGACCCCAAGGGCAGGGGTCCAGGCACTAAGCCCTGGGGTAGAGGCCACAGTAGCAGGATGTGGTCAAAAGTGCTGGTGACAGCTGAGGCCGGCCCCTCTCCCCTGCACCTCCCTTCCTCCCTGCACCACCCCTGGGGTCAATTCCCTGAGACAGGCTCTGGTCCTCTCAACCAGCTGAGTACAGTGTCAGGCCCCAGTGGGGAAGGTAAGTCAAGGGGATCTACAGGTCACAGGTGTGTGTAGGAGGTATGAGTCCCCCATCCAGTGTGAAGGCTTCCTGTGCAGTGTAGTGTTCCTGACCCACCCCCAAGGGGGGGTGGGGTCCCTGGGGGAAACAGGGGCAGCTACAGAGGCCTGCCTGGCTCCTGTTCCAGTGTATGCTGTGGCTCCTCTTAAGGCAGCTGGAGCGTAGAAGAGTGGCCTGGCCCACTCAAGGTCCCGCCTCTGGCACCCATGGTGCCTGGGCACCCATGTCTTTGGTCTGCGCTCTGCAGTCTTGGGGGCCTCCCCGGAAGGGGTTGGGAGGTGAGGAGTCCCAGAAGGGATCTGATTCTGGGAACAAGGTCCAGGGTGCCCGTCTAGGTGCAGGCTGTGGTGAGGGCAGGGGTGAGGGCCGTGGGCCAGCGGACACAAAACTCCAAGGGTCGATGCGGCTGCGGAGGGGAGAGGGCCGAGGTCGGCTGATGAGGCCCAGAGGTGGTGAGCGCGGGGTGCCTGGGGTGCCAGGAGCGGAGCGTGATATTCCTGGTGGAGGTGAGACAGTGCCTCCTGTGTGGGTACAGGAAGACAAGGCTTAGGTGGGCTTTAGTTTCTTCATCTGTACCGTGAACTGCATTACCTGACTCAATTTCCATGGCTCTCTATGCTCCTTGGTGCCTGTTTATTACAAGTGGCTCAGTACACAGCAAGTGGAGCAGCTAGAATTGAGCTTAGATTCCAACCCTGTCATTCACAAACTGTGGGAGCCTGGGGTCCCTTAATCTCTATGCTTTAAGTTTTTGATTTGAAAATATGTATCAGCTGGGCAGCACAGTGGTACACACCTATAATCCCAGAACTCAGAGGGCTGAGGCAGGAAGACTACCAACAATTTGAGGTCTAAATGGACTACACAGTGAGTTCAAGGCCAGGCTGGATTACAGTTAACCTCTGTCTCCCAGAACCAAAGCCAAGAGCCAGGTGTGGGAGCACATGCCTATAATTCCTGCACTCGGGAGGCTAAGGCAGAAGGATCAAAATTCTAGCCCAGCCCAGGGAATTTAACATCTCAGAGAGATCTTGTCTTAAAAAATAGACCTAAGTGGGCAGGGGAGATAGCTCAGTGGTCTAAACACCTGCCTGACAAGCACAAGGAGGACCTGGGTTCAATCCCTGGTACCGCATGCTGTACTAGCCTGTACAGAGCTAAGGATGTAACTCAAGTGTGAAGGCCTTTGGCAGCCTACCTAACTCCTGCCCACTGTACAATTCAACTTGGCCTGAGCTCTCTATCTGAGACCCTAAGCAAACATTCGTGGTCTTGACTTCCCTACAAGCCCTCTGCCTCACCTCCCTCTGCCTCAGAGCCACTCACCGCGCATCTCTTCCCGCCGGGGGCTCTTGGCAGATGGCTGGCCAGAAGAGACGCCCAGGTCTAGCAGCAGGGGCACAGGCACGGGTGGGTCACGGATGTTGGGTAACTTGGGGGAGAGGTGGATGAGCGGGGTGGAAGGTGGCTCGGTGGCAGCAGGGCACATTGCTGGTGCTGGTGTAGAAGGCACTGGTGGGGGCTCCCCACGCTCACGGCCCAGGCTCCCAGGGGGCTGCAGGTCACGGCCGAGGCCCAGTGAGGCAAGCAGGGCAGTGCCGCGCAAGAGCGCCCGCTGGATCAGCTTGGGGGTCCCAGAGCTGCTGCCCCGCTCTGTGGGCCCAGGCTTCCGTGACTCCTCAGGATCTGGGCTCGGCCGAGGGGGGTTACCTATGGGCAGGCATCGCACAGATTAGACTATATCCGCCATCTCTGTGGCCTTGGACCAAGGCTGAGCTCTGTCTCCCACCAACATCTTCCCTGGCTCCGGTATCTCCAGCCCAGCTCCTCTCTGTCCAGCAGCACCTGCCCTAGTCCCTGCCTTTCACTAGGCACATGGACAGGCACAAGAACAAGTAGGAGCAAAGCCTGGAAGGTGGCCAGGTGTCCTGGTGCCCAGACATGGCATGACAGGAGTCTAAGTGGCAGGTGGAAGCTAGAGACCTTCCCCATGGCCAGTCACGGACAGGCTCTAGGCCAAGGGCAGCATTGCCCCACTGACTAGGACCAACCCTTCCCAACCATGCTTTCTGCCCAGCAGTTATAACTCTAGTAGTAGCACACAGGTCAACTTCAATGCACACCACAGTCCCGAGGGACACACATTCCATGGACAGACTGAGTGACTAGTGCCTTGCCTGAGGTTATAGGCAGTTTATAGTGCCTTCATTTCTGCCAGGCCTGAGCTGGATGATTTAGAAGCACTGTTTTATCTGACCTTCATGCCCCAGAGGGCCTAAGACCTTACACAAGGCTGCATAGCCATTAGAGGGGTGGAGCTGGCCTCTCTGTTGGCAGTGGAGTGGTCTCTGCTCTCTACTGCTTCCATACCAGACTCGGTCCTGATTCCAGGGAATCAGGCTTAGGGCTGGCCTGACTCTGTACCAGGCTATCCAGAGTGGGTCTGGGAAATCTGCCATTAATTGAGGGTATAGGGGCATCTAGGACGGATGGTCTGCTCAAGCCTTGAGTCTGTCAGACTCCTCTAGTTCTTTACTGCTACCAGGAGAAAATCCAGCCTTTCAGCTGGGCTGCCAAGGTCCTCTCCCACCTTGTCCCTTGTGTCCTTCCCCCACTCCTTAGGCCAGGCACTGAGCAGACCTCCCTGAGTGGAGCCAAGGGCTGGGCTTTGAAGGAAGAAATGTGAACCTCTGCTGTGAGGACTTGGATTGGTGTCCCCATCCTTCCTTGGGCCACAATCCTCACCCAATCTGTCTCTTCTCTCCTTCTTGCCCACTCAAGGGCCCTAGGAGCCCCTCTAAGATGTAAAGCTTTGATCAGGTCTCCTCAAAACTCCCCACCATTTCTAGGCCCTTCCTGAACTGGCTATAGCCTATTTTTCCAGTTTTGTTCATGCATTCATTGAACAAACATCTACTGAACCTCATGCCTTTACCCACTGCCTCAGGCCTGACTTAGCCAGGTTTCCTTGTCTCAAAAAGAAAAAAAGTCAGGGGGGAGTCAGTTTTTGTTTCTTTGTTTTTACTGTGTTGGAAATCAAACTCAGGGGCTGGGGAGATGGCTCATAGGATAAGTGCTTGACTGGCAAACGCAAGGATCTGAGTTCAATCCCCGGTTCCACCAAAAAAAAAAAAAAAAAAAAGGAAATCAAACTCAGTTGTGCTCACTACAAAGCTATACTATCAGCTCTCCTGCCTTTTGAGATATTGGGGCTCAAGCCTTGGGCCCCTGCATTAAGTTACATTCCTAGCCCTTTTATCATCTTTTGAGAAGGGTCTCAGGAAGTTGCTGTTGTTCAAGCTAGATGTGAACTTGCAATCCTCTTGCCCATCTCCTGAGTAGCTGGAGTGGGCTGGGGATATAGCTCAGCAGCACAGTGCCTGCCTGGAACAAGGTCCCGAGTTCAATTTCTTTTTTTTTGTTTTTGTGGAACCAGGGATTGAACTCAGGCCCTTGCGTTTGCCAGGCAAGCGCTTATTCTACTGAGCCATCTCCCTGGCTCCCGAGTTCAATTTCTGGTACCAAAAAGAAAAAGTACCTGCCCAAGTATCTGGGATTACAGACATGTGCCACCACATGTGGCCAAGAGATATGGTTGCACTCATTTGAAATCCCAGCATTCAGTCAATGTGAATTGAATGCACTCTGCCAGTGTGCAGCATAGTGCACACAGGTCCCCAGGGATGAGGCCATCTAGCTGGGACAGGGTAGCAGAAGGGATGCAGATTCTGGATGGTGGCTTATGCCTGGGACATTCTGAGTCTAGAACCTCTGTGAGGCCCCATTCTTTCTTAGCCAGGCTGCTGACTCTGGGGGTGGCTGGAGGTCAAGGTCATGTGCTCTTGAGGGCATAGGTGGCAACCCGAGTGTAAGCTTAGGCTAGGAAAAGCAGGTGCTCAGCGGTGACTATGTCAGGGCAGTTGATGGTGTCCTTTCATACACAAGCTTGAGGACAATGGGGTTTGGCTTGTGTCCCTGGCCCTGGGAGCACGGGGAGAGCAAGCAAGGCCAGATGGCTCTGCAGAACAAGGTCTGGTACCGCCTTGACCCACCTAACTGGGTTGACAAGACCCCAGATTCTTCACTGACCCCACAGACCCCATACATTTTAGAACAAGT